TCCTGCTCTACAGGCCAAAGGAAGAAAAGATGTCAAAGTGCCATCCTTATTACCTGAGACCTATGCAGAAAGAAGTCACCTTTCCCGGGGTATGAGTAGATGCGACCAAAATCACTCACAGCTATAAGTCCACATTGTAAAATCACCACAGCAAGTCCTCAATGGATATCTTTATCTTAGACAGCAGACAGGAACCGCTCACTCAATGAAAAGTGAAAACACTTTTTGTCAAGAACACATGGTCACTTAGAAGCTGGCTCAATACAGCTGTTGTCTCATACGCCCTAAGGCTCTCCATCCTTTCAACATGACCACTCCTCCTTCCATTTCAGGCCTCCAAGGCCTGTTCTGCAACTAATTTGACACCTTTCCATACTCAGGAAGCCTCAGGCTCCACCACACCCTATCCCTACCAGATTTCTACTCTCTTACGGGCTCTGGCATAATTTTATTGAAACACACACGCGCGCGCGCGCGCGTCCATGCGGTGTGACGAACCAAGGCTTAGGGCCTAACTAATCCTGTGCCCCTCAACTATTTGGAACTAAAGTGCCCTCACAAATCTTATCTTCCCATGAACCCATTTCTTCAGCTTGGAACGTCTGGCTCTTGCGCCGACCCTTCAGCTTCCATGCCCCCAACTAGTTCTGGTTCTAGCAGCCCTTTCTTGTTTCCCGCCTCGGGTTCTCGGTCCCAGCTCGCAGTTTTTTGGTCTGCAGAATCCTTGGAGGCTGGGGAGAGGCCTATGAGACACCCACCCCGGGCTCTCAAATTGAATGGGTCCAGTGTCCCCTTCGACTCTCACTCTTTCAATGTCCAAGCCCCAAACTCCCTATCTTTACCTAGGCTCCACGACCACCTAGGCCACCCTCGGAGCATCCCGCGCGCGGCCCAGGCTCTCCCAGCCTCCTGCTTCCGGGCTTTCCCTGCAGCTCGTCTTCCGGTCCTCGACCTCCGCCTCTCCCCCCGGGCCGGTTTCACCAGCCCGCGCCCACAGCCCTTCGCGCCGCTCGCCCGCGGGCTCTCACCGCTCGAAGAGCAGCCTCACGGAGAACACGCCCGCCGCCAGCGGGAACACCGAGAGGATGTGCCGGGCCCGCGGGTAGCCGTAGCCGTCGCCTGGCCCCTCGAGGTCGGCCCAGCTCACGTTCTGGGGCAGCCAGAAGCGCTCGCTCCATAGCCAGCCCCACAGCAGGCCCAGGGCTCCCGCCGCCGCTGTCGCCATCTTACGCCCACCCCGCGGCCACCGCCGCCACAGCTTCAGCTGCCGCCACGGCCAACAGAACCCGCGGGGAGGCGGCCCCGGGGCGGGGCCGGACCGGCGGCCACCCCCTTCCGGCCCCTTCTTGTCCCCGTCACGTTTCAGCCCGCCTCCTCTGCGGGGGCCCAGCTTCTTCACCGCCCATCCCGCCTCCCCGCCCACCTCCCTCACCGCAGCCTCCCCGGCCGCCTCTCCTCGGGACTCCGCCTCCCGATCCCGGTCACGCCCCTCCTTTTCCCGCCCCGCCTCCACCCAGCCCTGGTCCCACCCCGCACAAGCGCTCAACGCTCGTGCCGCCCCTTTTTGGTACCGGTTTCGGCCAAGATTTTCCTCCTCCCTCACTCTCCCGTCCAGCTACGGCTACACCCCTTATTTCAGGCATAGCTCCCTTATGGGGACATTCTTCTCAGTCCAGCCAGCTTAAGCTGTTCCTGCTCCCTGGAAGGCCATACCTCTCTCTCGCACTCTCTCTCCCCCCCTCCCTCACAGCCCCCATCTCTCACTAGGGTTTATCGCCATCTCAGCTGGTCCCGCCTACTAGCAGCGTTCTTTTCGCTCCCCACCCTTTTTCTCTATTCGTGCCCCTCCATGATCTCAACCCCCTGTCCTTGTATATCCCTCAAAATTGACTTTTAAAAATCCTTTTATTCTTCTCATGGGGAAAGGAAGTGGAAGATATCCAAAGGAAAATATTAAAGGAAAAAGAAAAGTAGATGATGGCCAGTGTTTAATGAGGTTTACTATATGCCAGGTACTGCACTGAACATTTTACACACATTATTTAACTTCCTCATTCTGTGAAGTAGGTATTTACTATTTTATGGATGAGTTAACTGAGGTCCAAAGAGCAGCTTGCCCGAGGCTACATAAACAAGTGGTAGAGCTGAGCTTCTGAATTAGAAAGTCTTTAGATTCCAGAACCCTGAGGCTTTATCCTATAAAACTCCTTAATTTTAGATGTCCACATTGAACATTGAACTCTTTTGTGGATCTACATAAACAGGGAGGGGAGCCATAGGCAAGAAACCTTCAAAACATTGAATTCTAAATTGTCCCTCAACCGCTGGAGAACGCTGAACCCTGGGTGCCAACCGTTCAAACCTGGCTACAAGGTTAATTACCACAGGCTACCTAGAATGATCTGAAAAAAGATTAAAGAACTAATCTTGTCCAAGGACAGACAGAGTATCTTTATACTAGTAGGCATGCTTGCAGCAGAAGATAAAGAGTTTCAAAGGGAGGGAAAGAAGAGAAAAAAAAAGGAGTAGACTAGAAGATTTGAGAACCTTAGTGTGCCACAGCTCAGACATTAGCTTCTCTCATCTCCCAAATGAAGAGTTTGCTAAAAGTTTTCTGGGCTCCATCCAAAGAGATTCTGATTCAGGAGGTTCAGGGTAGGCCCATGAATGTACATTTCTCATTTCTAACAAACTCAGAAGTCATGCCACTGCTGCTGGTCTGAGAACCACACTGCCTGAAGCCATTTTCATCCAAACCCAGAAATAGCTTAAATGGTAACTACCCTATATTCAAGATACGTTTTAAAAGAAGTAAACTCACAGGACTTCCCTGGTGGTCCAGTGGTTAACACTCCATGCCCCCACTGCAGGGGGCATGGATTCGATCCCTGGTTGGGGAACTAAGATCCCACATGCCGTGTGGTGGTGTGCGGCCAAAATAAATAAATAAAAGAAGTAAACTCTCTCTGATCCCATGGGAATTCAAAGCAGAGCCCCAAAGAACAAAGAACATGCTAACTTAGCATGCAGAGGCCAACACACAATGATCTTGGTCTCAAGATCTATTCCCAGAAAAACACATATGTACCATTTCTCAACCTCTTGACTGTTAGAAAACATGTTGCTGACGAAATACGTAATGAAAGCAAATTTAGTACAGGTTTCACTTTGGCCAGGAGTGATCTGACCAGCAAGCTGGTAAAAGAACTAAGTTGGCCCCTGTAGCAGTCACGGACAGAGTCTCCTTAACCATCTCAAGTCCCAAGCTGGCCCCTTTTCCTGCTTTACCAACAGAAAAATTCACATCATCCTATTGTCAACATTGACATAGTCCAACAAGTTGCCTTCATTTAGAGAGCTGAGAGAATAAATGATAAGCACTTTTTATTTGGCTGTAGGTTCTTTTGTTTTCTAAGAATGTTTAGTGTTATCTGGTCATTCTCTTGATAAGAATATCCTTTTATTATATTGATTACGGAGCTAATTCTTGTCTCTACGGTCTGTACCTATGTCTATCTTAGCCCTTGAAAGGCACAGAAGGGAGTTCTTCCAAGGGTAATCTCAGCCCCCAAGTACCTGATATACGGTGACATACTCAACTGATACCCATTAATGCCAGCCATAGGCACTCAGACTTTTCGTATAAGGTTAGTAGATATAGGGAGTACAATGTGGATGGGTTAGAGCAGCAAGCAGTGAGTCACAGAATAAAGGTAGCTAAACTCAAGCCAAGATTGGATATTTTATAAACGTCAGCAGGA